ATCCCTGATTTAACGACTCCTCTCGTAAACCACAAAACATTGCTTTTGGGCAGTTCTTTGCTATATGTCCTCTGGCTTTACAATTGTAGCATGTAATCTAGGTTTGTCTTTATCTTCTTTGCTATTCTTGTCTACATCTTTCAATTGGCAGCAATCCTTAGCCAGGTGACCCACCTTCTTACAATTGTGACATCTTTTCTCCTCAACCTTCCTCCCAATTGCTGCCTCCCACTTGTCCATTCTTGCTTGTCGAAAGTTTTCCGCGAACTGACCTGCTTCCTTGCTTGAACTCGGTTTACGCTCTTTGACCCATGTCCTTGCTTCTTCTGGTAACACATTCACAAACTGCTCCAATATAACACAGTCAATAACTTTCTCCCTAGTTGTGCATGACACCAACCACTTATCTGCAAGGTCTGTAATCGGTGTCAGCATCTCCAACGGTGTCTCTGTTCTTTTTATGTTGGCTGAGCAAAATCGTTGTCTGTGGGTTTCTTCATTAATGTCACTTTAACCTTCATATAATCCTTAGAGTCTGCGTTTGCCATTGCAGCATAAGCTTTGAGAGCCTTCCCAGTTAGTTGTGAAGCTAGCATTGCTGCCCAGTCTTTCTGGTCCACATTGTGGGCATCCACAGCTCGTTCAAAAGCTGTCAAAAAAGCTTCAATATCATCTGACTCACCTAACTTTTAGTTTCAGAGTCTCCGGCCCCACATCCTTCTTTTCTGTCAAGCTCCTTATCAGTCCCTCGTAATGTAAGCGGTCCTCTTCTCGCTCTCGTCTCCTATCTTCTTCCTTGTGCCGTAGCTCTTCTTCATATCTTTGCCGTTCTTCTTCATATCTTCGCTGTTCTTCCTCATATCTTCGCCGTTCTTCATATCTTCGCCATTCTTCTCGGCGTTCCATTTCTTGTCGCCGTTCTTCTTGGCGTTCCATTTCTTGTCGCCGGTCCTCCACTTGTCGTTCTTCCACTTGCTGTTTTTCTTCCTCGTATCGTTCCTTCTCGTCCTTTCGTTGTTGCTCCCATTGTTTGAGTAATTCCAGTAGTTCAGCCATAGTCTTGAGTCTTTTCCAGACCTCAGCATTCACACATATACACAAATTATAATTTGAGTGCAGGCTACAAGTCACTGCACTGCTGCCACCAAATGTAACAGTGTTCACCAGAAGTAAGTGGTTTAATATTATGTTTTTACCAAGCAAGGAACCCACTATTTACAAAAATCACATATTTGTAGCAAGGTACAAATCTGGAACCTTCTAGTCCAGAATGTTCCAGTACACAAAAAGAATAGTCCACACAACAAAGGAATAGTCCAGTAAATGAAAAAGAATAATCTAGAATGTTCTTAAATAGTACACCAAAAATTAAATCCCTGTCCTATCTTGTATCTACTATTACATTGTGATGATGGCTTGCTGTGAGGGCCCATTGATTAAATTTGTCCTTTCACTTCAATCTCAAACTTCCGACATATATCATTGACTATATCAAGACTTTTAGCTGCTTTAGCTATGGAATGGGGCTGAATATTAGATCCCATTTGTCTTATCATGCCTTTTAATCTTCTGTTTAAATGTTCTATAAACAAATCACAGGCCATATTACAGCCCTCCCTACCCTTTGTAGTGATGAATCTGCTATCTCCAACCTGAGCTGCCTTCCTTTCCAAAGCAGTGAAATGATATTCTAATAAGAGGCTAACTGCTTCTTTCGCATAATTTCTGTGGCCAGTTTTTCTAAAAATGACCATCAGAAACTTCCACCGAGCCATTACACGACCACCATCTCCTTCTCTTGTAGAATCTAAATAGTTAAGCCATAACAAGCCCAATGTAATTATTTCACAAGCATAATTGTAAACTTGGTCCTAAATTTTAGGGGCTACATCAGGTAATATACAAACATACATATTTACAATCAGTCATGCCAAGCTATTTACTTTTCCATCCCAATCATTATCTACTGCTTTCATATGCATTATTTCTTCTGCAGCTACAGCAATGTAGCATTCTAGAACAATTTGAATGAAATCTTTGGCAGAATTCATATCTTCCTCTGGACTGTTTGGAACAGATGAACGGTGTAGAATATTCTTGATCTGATAAAGTGTCCCCTTTTTAGCAGCTGAATTTTTTGAAAAAAGTCTCCCCAAACTACCTGCAAGGAATTAAAGTCAGTTTGTACATGTAATAGTAATACTAATTTTTAGTCCATGTATACGTTAGTCGTACTTATTAATGGAGTTATGTAATTAATTTTAGGCCATATTTTTGTTAATCTATGTTAGTAGCTTTGTAGCT